TTTTTTTTCTTATGGTCAAGTGGTGCTACCGTTTAAAAAAATTTCTGGGTCCGTCCCTGCGGCAAACGTAATCAGAGGAGGCTCAGTGGTTCATCGGTTTTGGTTTTTTAACGGTATTTACGATACGGGTCATGTCGCAGTTGCATAGAACGAGAAGACGGAAACTGTTAAAAGGTACAAGTATTTAATGCATGATGTACAAGGGAAGGGAAAAAGGGTGAATGATGGGCAATAAAGAAGAGGTAGAAGGTGAATCTCATGATATTGCATGATAGCATCTACACATAGAGAAGAGATACCCCTTGTCATTATAGCTTGGTTGAACATGTTTCCAAGGTCTTTTTAAGTTGGTTGAAGGATGCAATTGGTTTCCATGCAAATATGGGCCCCACTTCCTTCTCTTGTGGGTCCCATCTACATACACTTCCATATGGGCTTTCACATCATCAACCAATTGCAAAAAAAAGAATCATGGACATCAATTGTTTTCTTAACATTTCAAAAAAAAGAAAAGAAAAAAATATATATATATATATATAGGGATCTAAATAAATGAGAACTAATTAGTTAGTGGTAACCGTAAGATATAATTTTAACCACAAATCAATAGATAAATTAGAAAATTTATAATTTTGGTAATTTTGAATTAAAATTTTAATGCAAGGACATTTTTGGTATTTTAAAACTCTCATCTCTTCTCTCCGGCCACCGTCCTCCGGTGATACCATAATGGTATCACAATGCATCATATATGTGATTGGGTATCACATTGAGGTCGTTTGTGTGGTTGATCGAAGATGTAACACAGTGGTATCACAATGTATCTTATATATGATTGGGTATCACACTGTATCTTTTGTTTAACAGATTCAATATTTTTAGGTATCACCGGAGGACGATGGCCGGAGGACGGAGGACAGAGAGAGAAGAGAGGAGAGAAGAGAGAGAATACCTAAAATGTTCTTGCATTAAAATTTTAATTCAAAATTACCAAAATTATAAATTTTCTAATTTATCTATTGATTTGTGGTTAAAATTGGATCTCACGGTTACCACAAACTAGTCAGTTCTTCCTTGAATAGACCCCTATATATATATATATATATATATATGGTGATTTATCTGATTCAATTATTATTTAAAAATAACGTAAAATAAACGTAGATTATTTCAAAAAATATTTTCGTAAAATAAAAAATATTTTTTATTATTTAAAATAAAAAAAGTAATCATAGTATTATTTACTTTGGGAGATTTACTGAATCTATTTGATTTTAATTTATATAATAATTTTAATATTGTAAAGTATAAATATATGGTGAATAATATATATTTTTTGGTATTATAATATATAATTGAAAATATTGTTGAACAGAAAATTAATTTCGTAAAATATGAATATTAATTAATAAATAAGTAATTAATTAATTATATCCCAGTTGGCATAATATCTTAGAAACAGTAGCAGGATGATGGTGGCAGGCAGTCCACAAGGGAATGTACAACAGTACAAGCAAATAGTACAACCATAATAAAGCTGTCTTATTCTATAATAAAACGTTGTCGTATATTCTACATTTGTGAATTCAATCCCATGCCAAATTTGCCACCAAAATTGATCAACATTTGTACCCTAATAACATCAAAATTTAATTAGATTCAGAATTGAATTTTGCCCTCTTTTCGGTACAAAAATCTCTTTAATGACGGATTTAGAACACGAGGGCCGGAAAAGTTCTTGACGGGTTCGTTTGGAATTGGCAAAAGAAAGAAACGGATTTGAACCTTCTAGATGAGACGGGCTTAGTTAACGATGGTTCAATATTCACAACTCTGCTCTTGATTCTAAGTCTTCTTCGGGTTCTTGTGGTTGAGCCGGTGGGCTCACTATCTTCTCTATCGGGCTAACCACCTTCTCTACCGGGCTCACTCCTTCGCCTAGTATTTTCGAGGTGAAATGTCTTGCTTCCAGATCAAGATCGGGCCACTCTGCTACGATCCTTTTGGCACCCTGAGTTTAAGAAATTGCAGTTAAACATCAGGATACACACCAAAGGGTAACTGGCCCGCGGTACCCAGGTTATTTGTAGAGCCCATCCTCTTGGAGCATCTCCAACAGATTCTCCAAAATTGAGAAAATAGAGATTTTGGGCATATTTTTTGCTCCAACGGATTCTCCAAAATGGAGAAAGTAGGAGAGTACAAAAATCTACAAATTCGGAGAACATCCCAAAAATGATTACAATAAGAAAGAAATATTATTTAATATATCCGATATGACATGAGGATTGAAGAGAGAGATTTGACCTGAAGCTTCGGTTCCTTGGTCATTGGATTGTTGCAAAGATCGATGGTTTTAGCCCGGGCTTTTGTGGAGTTACCGCACCAAGACTCACACCACAGCCATTCTTGTGGAAGCGAAAAGATTGGTACCGTGTGCTGGGCATAGTTTGGCAGATCCTGAAACATTAATGGGAGTTCCATGAAAAAGTAATTCGAGTAAACGAAACATAATGAAATCGCTCCTCTTGGGTAGTTGTGAGTGTGTGGGCCAGCTTTCGGGCATCTCGACTAATCCCTAATGGCTTTGTAAAGACTCGAACAGGTGACCTAATGGGAAGGAGCCCCAACGCCTAGCCTTTAACCCTCGAGGTTAATGGAATAGCTCTTGCAAACTCCGATGAGGATTTTGGAGCATGACAATATTTCATTGTTCTACGTAGTTGTAACGCTTCAGGAAAAATCAGAACGGAACATGTTGAAATGTATGCGAATTTGCACTTGCCTGATCGAGGTTAGAGAGACTATTTGGATCTTTGCTAAGTGTTTCATAAAACACTCTCAAATTGTCTCCGGCTGCAGTTTCCCGGAACTTGACCAAATCAACCACGTACAAAGCACTGCAGGTTGTATGACACAACAACGAAAAGATTCAAGCTTCTTCATAGCAATAGTTTATGGCTTCTATGGTGGATTATAAAGCACAAAGAAAGCTGATCTTACCTGATATGATATGGTCTTCCTCGTAAATGTTCCTTCCAAAAACCCTACAAATTAAAGAGGTTCGTATATCAAAAGAAACCAAACGGAACGGAACCCGCGACATGTTTTGAACCAGGGACAGGTCAGATGAAGGTCATTAAGCGAAAATTTTAGAAGGTCATGCTCCTGATCGAGAACTCATTTGAAGTCATTTATCCAGACAACCTTGCCGTGAAAGATAATGAAACTTACTTGTCTCCAAAACCGATAACCATCCATATCTCGATTGTTGTCACAAAACGGGGTATATGCAAGAGGTCTTCCTTTCAAATTCATGTCATAGAGTTCTCCCATGTCAGCACGAACGATCTGATCCGCATCAACAAATATAACCTATAAAAACATATATGAATGTTTCTTAGAGTATGCCCGGGTTATTGCTCGTCTTGTAATAGAAGATGATATGATTTTCGCTAAATACCTTCTCGAGAGAAAGGGGGAAAATGACATCAAGAAATAGAATTTTATACGCCCAAATAATCCGTTGTTTTTCTTTCTGCTTATGCAACCAACTCGGCCATTTATACGTAACCAATTCATACTCGAAACCATATTCTTGTGCCATATGTGGAATCACGTCCTGCAGGAAAAGAATAAGATCTTAGGTCTAGGAAAAGTTCAGTAATTTGAAAGACGAGAAGATGGGGAAGAAACAGAACCTTAAACTGTGGTGAAAGGTAGTTCTTGATAAACCAGAACTTCACCGGGCGTTGTGTGTTTTTCAGAACACTTAGAATCATGATTTTCAGAAAACGTTCGTACCTGTATAATCAAGCAATAAATACATCAGACAAAGCCTATGTTTGGCGAACTAGCTATAAGTTAGTTGGCTGATAATGTAAAATGACCTAAAAAAACGTGTTGAAAATCATTTGGAAAAAGATAAGGGGCATAATTGGAAAAAAGTGGAGAAGCCCGGGAGCTTATTGAAACACTACTTCAAGTGGCGTTTCAAAAAGCTAGCTTATGGTAACCAAACAGAGTTTTTTCAATAGACACGAAAAATAAGCTAGCTTATGGTTGCCAAACATGGTCAAACAAGAGAATTGTCCAACGTCTCGACAACAAGAAGCTAAAGACTGAGAACGATAACTTACAAGTGTCCCGAGGCAATAGAGAATATATTTATCGTTTTACCCTTTCTCCCATTGCTTACATTATTATCCTACAAGAAATATCAATCAGTTCACAAATTCAAACATAGATTTTGCAGGTTTTGCGTAGCGTTATGAGCAAAATATTCACCACTTTAGTGCTTCCACTCTTCTTGGACTGCACATTGCCACCGATAAGCGAGGAAGCCCATCTCAAAATGTTAGAATTCCAACTGTCCTGATCACCCTGCAAAATTCAAGCAAAATTGGCTTTAAGCTGCGATCATTGAATTCATGAAAGAAAGATTTTCGTTTTACTAACAAACAAAAGAAACCCAACTTGTTTCCTAGAAGAATCGTCATCATCAGAAGGAATCAGTAGTTTTTCGTGTTCTTTTCCCTTTTTCTTCACGACTCCAAGATGAACTGGTTTTCCCCGCAAGCGGTCGATGGTGATCCGCTTTGTTGAGCGCATGTCCAGACCATCTTGCATAATGTAGAGATCAGAACTTCGACCTGGTGCTAGCTGCAGGTACCAAACCCCGGGTGACACTTTCATCTGCCAATAACCCAAATTGGCCATCACAAGTGTGTCAACCAAATGGGGGTTCTTTTTAGTTCCAAGTATCATTTGAAGGCCTCGTGGGGGTTCATGATCCTTCTCTGAGCAATGGCCTGGTTCAATAGTTCATTCATCAGAAGGTTATTTATTCTCCTAAATAACCCCGGTAGAGGGGGGATAAAGTTTCAAATTTCATTGTTTTCTTAATCCAACTTTACCAGTAAGAACAAGAGCTTCAAGTTCAAAAACTGCCTGTAGCGTCCTTGTGTCGCCAAGGTTCTCAAGTAATATATTGTCAAGATCATGGCTGGAAGAATATAAATTGAAAAGCAGTTAAATACATGAAAAAAGAAATAAAAATGATTGGGAGTGAAACAGCAAGATTGTTTAAAAACTTACATTGCAATGACAGGTTCAACAAGCCATGATTCAGGAACATCAAGATTCATGGTTAAGGTTTTCGATAGCGGCATATTTGCAAAAAATGCTTTGGGGCCATGTACCGTTATATCAGTGTTGCTGAAGTCGTCCTGCATATACAAGCAATAAATTTGTATACTAACAAAAGGAAAATTAAATCGAAGAGTATCGTGAATGAATCTATTCGACTGTACCATTGTCGGAGTAACAAATCTGTAGTAATTCTTCAGCGGAATATCAACAAGGGAACTCTGTCAAGAAAACCCTAAAAACATTAGTTCCTGAAAATAACATGGATTCTTACATCGCTCAGCCATGTGTCCATGAACCGAACCCATAACTTTCGTCCTCACCATGGATCATCAATTTACATATAGTAAATAGATTTCTACATCAACTGTTTTTATAGTCATAAAGCTACGAATAGGCAAAAAGACTATTGATCTCTTGCCATATGAAAATCAAAGCTTATAAATGAGTTTAAGTTGGATAAAGAACTAACCATTGGGTTGAACACGAGCCTCATGCTTGGCTGACTGCATTTCCACAGTATCCGAAGAAGTGAAGATATTTTTTGACCAGAAGAGCTCAAAGGATCAATAACAGCATCTATATGAATGGTTGCATTTTGACCACCAATAACAACAGCACTGTATTCTGCACTCAACATCTCAAAGCGAGCACCTTCAGAGCTTCGGTCCCGTGTAGAGAGTGAAGATGCGACAGACATGATTACATCACTTAAGAATTTGCTGCATGAAGCATTCAAAAGAAACAAAAACTTCATGGGCATATTAAAATATGAATTAGTTGAGGTAATAAAACTTGAGTAAATAGGGATATGTCAATAATATAGCAATGTTAGTTACGATCCACAAATATTGGATATCGTTAATTACCAAAATGACAAGCATGGTGTCAGCCTTTAGCCATTAAACAAACAAAGATGGTGGTTAACCACAAACAATTGTTTCATAATCAACTAAGAAAACATTTTCATGCTATATTGCTTATTTATTAAGCTAAACTGCTTATGTGTATCGCCTGACTTGTCAAATTTTCAGCCAAGCAACTATTAATTGAATAACAAATATGAATATATTGGTCAAATTCGCTAAAGTCATGAATAATTCATGAATAGTTGGTTCTCACGGTTCTCAAATGGACCTGCCCCTACATATGTTATATATGTATGTATGTATATGTGTGTGTGCATGTTTTTCTATTTGTGTCTTTGCATATACATACAAACTGAATTATAGAGAAAAATGTCTGTCCAAGAAAAAACCTCATAAGTGTGTCTGGATCTACATCATCCCAGGTCACCTCCTCAATGATGTCAGCTATGTGCTTTATTCTTTGCTTAAATTCCACAGATTCAAGAAGATGCAAATCTTGGCTTAAAAATGTAACATCATCAGGGACGCGAACCACCTATTCAATGCCAATTAAGTCAATTTTTAATTAGCATAATCCACATTTCATCTTAAAAAACGATTACAAATGGTGGAAATGGAACACACCCTGCCATTAGTAATAACTGCATTAATGCCATTTTCAAGCCCAACTTGTCCATATAGAAATTGGCCCACCTGCATATTATATTGAGGAATGTTAATAGCATAAGAATCTATGTCAAAGATCTGGAAATCAAAATAAACTAATTCATGTGTTTGCAGAGCGATACATTCATAAACCGATGATGGTTTTACTAGTCGAGTTATGTCAAGTTTATACAAGGGGCCATGCAACTCTATATCAAATAACTTTCATCTAAGTAATGGACTTTATGAACATCATACTTGGCTTTTCTTCACAAACAAACTATCGTTCTCGCAAGAAATAAGAAAACACTATGCTGCAGAAGAGTGAGAGATTTGGGACAAAAAGTAGTGAGAGATTTGGGACAAAAAGTGCCCAATATAGGCTTTTTTTGCATTTACATGTTTATAGTTTGTCCAAAATCACTTAATCTTGCAAGCTATAGTGTTTAAGTTTTTGCAGGAATGATGTAAGTTTGCAATGCAAGCACAAATACAATGGTTCAAAAAGTCAATCTTATGTTTAACAATCTACACGTTCCTTTCTGCTAATTGTTTATATTATGTGTTTTTTACTTCCAAAAATACCTTTAAAAAATAATTTTCAATGAGTCAATTCAAATGTAACAAGGATAAACCAAGCATCAGTAAGGACACTTAGGGGTTCTTTGGTAGGTTTTCCATCAAGTCCTATAAGGATAAAGCCGTCTGTATGAATTAATATGTCCATATAGATTGCGGAAGTTTTTGTTTGGAGAGTTTTTTCATAGATGGAAGGACATGTTTTTCAATTGGGAGGGAAATGCTTGGGAAAAAACTTGGCTTTCTGCATAAAGCTCCCCCTAGAAGCTTACTGAATAAGCCACTTTATATATCATTAAGCCACTACCAAACAATAATGTATAGCTGACCGAATAAGCTGTTAACAAACATGCCCTTATTAAGTTCAAAATTGCAAATAGCACCTCCATCGCTCTGTCCCACGAACCCTTCGGATTAAAACACACAAGTTTATACCTTCTTTAAGTGACTTGTAAGCTTGGCAACAGTAAATTCAGAAAGAGCTGACATAAATCCTTTAGATTGTATCCCATTTGCATCCGCAAGATCAGAAATCTTGTTAAGAAGAGCTTGAGTGCTTTGAGCATCTTGAGAAGACCCGAGCCTGAACTCATTCCCGTAAAATGAGCACAGTTGGTCCAGAAAGTTTAACACTTTCTTCTTATGACTGAAAGAAAGAAAAGAAATATTAATAATCAGACACTTACGAATCACGAGTGTGAGAAATTTGAAGGGATTTACGACAAGAATGTGCATATATTAGCTAAAATAAAAATCAAAGTATGACGCTGGGACATACAGACCTATATGAGGAGGTTGCAATTTCAAAAACCTTCATAAAGGTGAGGCTATTTGAATCAGGATCAACATCGGAATTAAATACAAAGCCCACGCGAGCATTTGCAGAACCTGCCATCTGCAAAGAATTGTCAGAATTTTCATTAAAACCGGAATAATATATCAACAGTCATTGCTAGAATTATTGTTATATATCGTGGATTGCAATTGTACATATAGCTAAGTGGATCCATTATATGAGGAAAATCAGATATAAAATGGAGAAGACATAAAAACTGTTACCCTAATTGTCTTAAGTAATTTACATTTCCAAAACAACCCCATATCCATTGGTCTAACCATGAGAACAGATGAAGGACAAGTTAGTAGTGAAAGTGTACCAGATAACGTATTCCCTCGTGGAGCAACTTAACCCCTTTTCTTGATTTGACGTCAACAGCAAGAAGATGAGTCACAGGCTTCAAGTCATCAATAGCTGGGACAGCCATTTAATGAATTAGAATGCGAAAACTCAATGGTGTACAAACATCAAATCTGGGAACTGATAGAAATCGTACTTCCAGCTGAGTGTAAATATTCGATATTATTTAGCAGAGATTCATCTCCAAGGAATGATGCAGTCAGAGAAACAAACTTAGCCTTTGCCTTATCTCCAACAATCTGTATAAAGAATATTGACATGATTTAGTACATGATACCTGCTGAATTCCAATAACTTAACCAAAAAAGATAGCAAAACAAATCAATTATAGTTACAAAAACATGTAGATATAATGAACCTGTGGGTTATAGCGCTGAATACCACTTTCTGATAAAAATTTGTCCAGAACATCAGTACGTGAATTTATCTGCCCATAGTAAACTTGTTCCTGGATTCTAGGGAGCTCATCATTCATGGCAGTCATTAGAGAATCCTGAACAAGTAACAAAACCACATAAAATTCATGTCCTACAAAAGACCATGGTGCTACCTATAGTGAAAGATATAAACTAATGAAAATGCACGTTATATCTTTGATGACTAATTTGCTCTGTAGCTAATTTCCTTGTAAAAAGAGCTCATCAACATAAATACACAAAGATGTATCATACTCTTGGATCACTTCCTCAATCATGTCGATGCTTGCTGCAGATCATGCAAGAAAAAAGAAAAATTTTGTGGTGGCTGAATCAGGATTTGTGGACTAGTTCTCGGCTACTTGTAATAATTCAGGTATTTAAGTTCCTTTTATGGATAAAACACCAGTTAGAAGATAAGGGCCTCATGCGAGCCAAGCTATTACTTTGGTAGCATGTTCAGTTTAAAAATATAAATATAAGTATAAAATAAGGGACTGTTTAGCAAACGCTTACCCGGTAAGCGCTTACCAAGTCGCATTACCTTATTGGATTAGCATGGCAAGGACCAAGATTCTTACCTGGTAAGAACAATGGCAAGGACCGCGAGTCTTACCCGGTAAGTGAGGTGACGACTCTTACCCAGTTAGCGCTTATAAGATGAATTGTTGCATACGATGCCGTTTTGATAGACTAAAATCTTACCCGATAAGGTAAGTGATAGTGTTGAATTGTATCAGTAAGCGCTTACCGAGCAATTGTATGGGTAAACGGCCCATAACTAATGCATGTGTTTAACATTTTTCAGGAAATTTAATCAACATGTGATGCCCATCAAGCCACAGAAATAACAAAAAGTAAAATTGAGGAACATTCTATCAAAGTGGTAAACTTAATATGCACCAAAAGAGAACCTCGTTATAATCGTGGACAAGACCGTTCATTAAGAGGGAACATTCCAGCTTTGCCAAACCCAACTTGAAAATGAACAAGGAACTTGCTTGAGATGGTTCGCGGAAAGATTGATCCTTTTCCAGCTTTAACAAAATATCTTGAGGTGGGGATTTTGCCAGTGGCCTACAAAACAAATATCTGTTCAGTGTAAACCAAACAAAACAAACACAGTAGATTCCATAAATAATAAGGCTAGGGAGGGTAGGATGTAAGCAAACCTTACCTCTACCCCGAGGAGTAGAGGAACTGTATCCGTGAAGACTCCCAGCTTGTAAAAAGGTTTTAAGAAAATGACATTATGAAAAAGATTTGTTCCAAAAGTTTGACAGAAGAAAAATATACGAAATAAAAAGGAAGAAATGGAGTTTAGAATATGACATTTTACACAAAATATCCATCAAATGTCTACCGTGATAATAATCAAAACGGACATCTATAGGAACATATCGGACCAAAACAAGAATAATAAAATCAATATTAACTACTTTTTTAAAATAATACTTGCAACTTACAATATTGTTTCTACAAATGCCCCCTCCACATGGTGCAGCAAAGGTACATCTTCCTCTCCTGACTCCATCCGCAATTTGTTTACCTGCACATGCCAAGCATATCCCGTTATGCCAGCCAGAAAATCCAACAGATCACAACTTGTGATAGACGCTAAACCCCCTACGCCCCTAATTACGGTATTGAGAAGTAGATGGCACACAGAGAGAAAAATCCAGGCAGGAAAACTAACGCACCTGTCAAGTTCGTAAACACAACATCCTGATAAAATTTTGGTACTTCAAATTAAAAGACACACAAAGCTTTTTCATAGGTATACACACAAGGTTAAAAGTACATGCTTTTCTCTGTTTTACCCGTTTTTCTTCATTTTGCCCCCCCCCCCCTTCTTAAAAAATCCCCTTTTATCGTCATGTAAGAGGTCTTGAAGCTTCATTAGTGGTTTATATGTGGAATCGACATGATTTCTTGTCAATTAGAACAAATCCACGAATCAGTCATGTGGCCTTCTTGACACAAATGACATTTATGTTTTTACAAGTATACCAATTACATAACATTTAACAAAGCTCTCAATAAATCATGTACTAAGTAACAGTCTGGTAATAAGAATTTAACTGCATGTCTGCTGAAGAACGGTATATAATGCTAACAAACACGTACATTGCTGAGAAATTGAAAGGCGTTCTGCATCCCATGACTCTCTTTGACGTAAAGGAATAGGCGTATGGTCTGCAATTCATTAATACAATATTTGATTAGCGATTGAAATGATACAGAACAGAATAATGAAGCACGAAGAGAAATGTGCCTATAGCATGAAAAAAGGCAATCCTAAAAAAGAAAGGAAAAAACTCATTACCAAGCTTGAGAGATCTTCGTTAATTTGACTGTCATTTTCAAGTGAGGAAAGTGGGAATTCTCCACCATTTGCCTCAAGTGTCTCGATCAACTTTGTAGAATACAATATCACCCCGAACCTTATTGGAAGAGCGCTCTCAAATAAAGAGATGATCATGTCAACTGTCTGCAGAACGTAGCATCATTAAGATTCCCGACTCATTCAGCAAACTCAAGATAAAAAATGAGCATTACCTCAAGTCCACAAATGGAGGCAGGATCCAACACGTAGGTTGCATGGAACAGGTTCTTACGAATGTAGCGTAATTGTCCCGGGAAGACGGGCATTAAAAGCTATAACAGAAAATGTTAGCCTGTAAAAATGATTGGAAGGACCTTTTTGAACTTCAATGAGAACCAAAACAGAAACACAAAGTATACCTCATTTAGATTACTCCGCCACTGCCTGTACTTGGCATCCACCTCTAAGTTATTGATGTAATGAGCATGTTCTGAACGGAAATCAACACGAAACATATTGGATTCGGGAGGAGGTAGAGTTGACAGAAGTTTCCGAACTGAGCTTGAAGGAATCTAGAATATGTAACATCAATTAGAAGGGCGTGTTGAAGTAAAAGTGAAGTTGAGCAGAAAAAAATGACCAAATCAAGAGACGATCAATGACAATGAATAATACTTGTATTATTAGTGCATCAAACAGTTCTCGCAGCGACTGAGAAACAATAAAGGATCATTACCTTCAGTTTTGTATATTGATCGGCTAAAGATAACTCTTGATGAACCATGTCGAGCAACCTATGAAAGACATAACATTGAATTATAAGTTCACAGAAGCTCAGTTGCTCGCAATTATTGATAACAGAGGGGCAAGCATTACACAAAAAGGTCGATTTCGTCAATATCGATTAAAGCACCATTCAGAGCCATTAAGGACTTGCCAGGCGGGATCATTCGCTGATTTGAAAGTATTTCATCTTTGATTGAATCATTGAGCTGGATGAATTATAAAACAAGATTAACTAGTTTGCACTGCGACATACAAGAGTAAAATATTAACTGCAAAAAAAAAAACTAACCTTCATACGAGACAAGTAAGAGACAACACTAGGGAAATTTTGATTAATTTCTTGCATCGACTGAAGAGGGTCCGAGGCATGGACAATTTTTTGCACAGTTTGATGTCCTAAATCTGTGGTTAAGAACACAAATATATAATTAATGAAGGCAGCTATTCTCGAAAAACAAGACCCAAAATACATAAATAAACTGTAATGATTACCCTTCAATTCCCACACATTAAGTGTCTCAGATACTGTTGATGACAAGAGAGAATCTCTGAAAGCCATAATTTCAGAAGTCAATTCCGGTTTCCGTTCCTGCATTAGTAGAGAGCATGCCGATCAGCCCAAAAATGAAATTATGGGGATTTTTGTCTTAATTCTTGTGAGAGTTATACTTTTGAACTCAAAGTCTGCAACAATGACCTTTGAACTTCATTCTTGAAATCACAATAATTCAACATTTGGTAAAAAGAAGCACTTTTTTCTCTAATTAAAATATTTGTACACATATATAAGTGAATTTTAAGTTCTTATTCAAAGGCTTTGAAGCAGCCGATGAAACTACTTTTATGTAACCTTCCCTATTGATAAAATCAAAAAGACAAATTAAGGCCAACAAAGGGCGGAGACTTATGAGTGACACAAAGGTAAATTGTATACTTGATTATGCTTACATGTTCACATGCTAAATCATTTATACAAAAAATTCTAGTCAGTTAAAAGTGGATCTTACCATCAGAACATGATGTAAGAATTAAGTGGTTACAGTCTTCAAGAATATATACAGGAAGAGGAAACAATTGAATGAAGACGATTTTTGAAATGAAGTGGGAGTATAAAACCTACACACTTTCTACGGTATCGAAGATTAATTACTCTAATCTATAACTAGAAAACAATTTTGATTCTACGTGTAAAGCAGCTTCAAACTAATGATGATCAAGTGGTCAAACATAAGAAAAATAAACATTGAACATAAGAGAAAGGACAAATACCAGAATTCTAGAGAAGATGAACCCTCTGACTTCTTGGCTGAGATCTTCAATGTGAGGATCTTCAAGGGTAACACCTGCATTTGAATTAAAGCTCTTAATGTGCCTTTTTACCTTAAGAAGTTGGAAATGTAGGATTCTGTTTGGAAAGCATGGTATGATGCAACTATCAACTCAAAAAAGCCTTTTCTCAACTGGTTTATTTTTTCCATTCAATTTTTCCATTTTCGTGGGTCCCGTTTATATGGTGTGAGAAGAAGCGATGTACTTCTAAGTCACTTTTACTTGATGTGAGAGAAATGATGAAGGGACTCGAGACGAAGAATGGAGAACGGAGGAAAATGATACAAGCAAATGGAAGTTAAATCTCATCTTTTTGCTTACGCACTATACAAAGTCAACGCATCGTATAAACATGTAGCATTTGCCTCTTTTGTTCATGTTGAGTTGTCACCAAGAACAACAGAAAAATCAAACTATCATAAGTTCCCACTTAACATAAATCTTTTATAAAGCAAATAAAAGAAAAAATGCAAGAACTTTGAACTGACAAATAAGAGTTTACTTTGAAGGCATGAACTACTAACCTTTCTTTATCTCACTGTCATCCATGGCCTTATATTCCATGTTCTTTAATGCAAGTTCTACACCATAACCACCCAAATTCAAGGGATCTTTAGTACCGATTGCTCCACAATGGCCACTTTTTGATTCACATCCTGAAGGCAACACAGGCCTCACAACATACTTAACTTTCCCCTGTAAGTTATTTAACCGTGTCAAACAATCTACCAAATAAAAGCATCTATAACTTGTTAATTAACTGGAATGCATAACAACAAATAAAAACTTCATCAAGAATTCAACAGCAGAAAGATTTCTGATGAATAATCGAATTTCTAATGCAGCTATGGAGTGAAATAAGAACACATTGAGAGGAAGGGAATGATTTAATTGAAATCGGGAATGGAAAATTACAATCAAAACTCCAGGGATAATCCCTCTCACAATCCACAAGATTGGAGCCCAAGACAATCGAAAACAAATAACAAAATGAATGAAAAAGAAATTCCCCTTCTCTTTTATTCTCTCTCTTCTAACAATCTTCAGCCACTTTTGTCATTTACCCTTTTAGCCCTTCTAGAATATACATGTAATATCCTAGGTTTTGTTAACCTCATCTTTAATTAATTCCAAGTCCATATCATTACTCCCCCCTTCCAACAAAGTCTTGTCCTCAAGACTTGCATCAAGAAATTGACTCTTGATGGTTAATGCATCTTCCCATGTTGCCTCTTCCAATGAACTCCCCTTCCATTGAACCAGCCATTGCTCATTGCCTGCATTGTGTTCCTTGATTGTTCGAGTAGCTAAGACAACCACTGGAGTAATCAAATCAGTAGCATTTAAATCCAATTCTGGAGGTAAAACTATGTCAACAATTCCCTGAACAGCTTTTTTTAACAAAGACACATGGAAAACCGGGTGTATCTTGAAAGTGGAAGACATATAGTTATATGCCACATGTCCTATCTTCGCTGTGATTTGGAATGGTCCAAAGAAACGAGCTACCAATTTTTGATGAATTCGACTGGCCATTGAAAGTTGTCGATAAGGCTTCAACTTCACATAAACCCATTCCCAATAGAAAAATGAACCTCCTTTTCTTATACGTGTTCCTTTTCATGACATCTTGAGCATGTAACAGATGAACACGAAGTCGTTTTAAGGCTTCATCTCTGTCTTGTAATTCCACTAGCACCTGTTGAACTTATACTTCGCCCGGTATGTACTGAGTAACTGTTGGTGGCCTTCGACCATAAACCACCTCGAAAGGAGACTTACCAGTCGACGCATGAAAGGTGGAATTGTACCAAAATTCAGCCCAGGGAATCCACAATGGCCAGGTACGAGGTTGATCAATAGCGAAACATCGAAGATATGTTTCCAAATAACGGTTTATCACTTCCATCTGGCCATCAGATTCGGGGTGATATGCTGAGCTCATATGTAATTCAGTACTCTGCGATCGAAAAATCTCCTGCCAAAATCGACTAAAAAACAGAGGATCACGATCGCTAACGACCGATTTGGGAATTCCATGATGACGAACCACTTCCTTTACAAAGATATCTGCTACTGATTTAGCGGTATAGGGATGTTTGAGTAGAATAAAATGGTTGTACTTGGACAGGCTATCGACCACCACAACAATGGATCAAACCCCCTAGACTTGGGCAACCCAAGGATAAAATCCATAGACAAATGTTCCCAAATAGCATCCGGTATTTCCAGGGGCTGCAACAGCCCTCCAGGAGCAATCGAGTTGGTCTTACACCGTTGACAAACGTCACAGGCATGCACAAACTGCTTAACACGATCAATCATCCATGCCAATATAAATTACCTGGTAGACGCTGTGCGATAATACCCGGAGTGACCACCAGATGTTGATTGATGAAATTCCTTTAGTAGAGAAGGAATGAATTTAGAATTCCTCGGAATAACTAATCGGTCCTTATAATAGAGAACTCCATTACGAACAAAATACCCCGGATGAGCATCTGACTGAGATGAATGCATCTCCAAATCGTCCTTATGCTCTTCAAGTAAGTCTGCTCCTTGTAACCATAAAGGAGATGAAAGGATCATCCATAAATCACCATCTTCAGCTCTACGAGACAGAGCGTCCACTGCCCGGTTTTCTCTCCCTGGTTTATAACAAATTTCAAAGTTGTAACCCAACAGTTTTGCCACCCAATTCTGCTGATCAGGGCTAGTAATTCGTTGTAGTAAAAACTTCAAACTTTTTTTATCAGTATAAACCACAAATGTGGTTCCCAATAAGTAGGAACGCTAGTGTTGGACTGCTGGAACCAGCGCCATAATCTCCCTTTCATACGCTGATTTGGCCAAATTCCGGTCATTTAATGCCTTGCTAAAATATGCAATTGGCTTTTGTTGTTGCATTAATACTGCTCCAATACCCCTACCTGATGCATCACACTCTACCACAAAGGGAAGAGCCAATAAAGGAGCAATCACCATAGCCTCTTTCAACCTATCAAAAGCTTCTTGCGCTCCCTCATGCCATGTGAAAGCATCTTTTTTTGTCAAATCAGTGAGTGGCTTTGCAATACTTCCATAGTGTCGAATGAATTTTCGGTAGTAACCCGTAAGACCCAAAATCCATGTAAGCCTTTAATTTGTTTAGGAACCGACCAAGCTAACACCGCCTCAATTTTCTTAGGGTCCATGGCAACCCCCGCACCATTGATAATATGCCCCAAGTATTCTACCAATTGTTGACCAAAAAAACATTTCTTTTTATTAACCACAAACTGATTTTGTTCCAAAACTCGAAAGGCCACTTCCAAATCAACTAAATGCTTTTCCCAAGTAGAACTATAAATCAAAATGTTATCAAAAAAGACCACCATTTTCCGTAACCAAGGACGAAAAATGTCGTTCATAACGGCTTGAAAAGTAGTGGGGGCATTTGTGAGGCCAAAAGGCATCACGAGATACTCGTAATGTCCGTCATGAGTACGAAACACCGTCATTTCAATGTTGTTTGGATGCATTCGTATCTGATTGTAACCGGATTTCAAATCGAGTTTGGAAAAAATAGAGCTCCATGCAATTCATTAATGCGCTCTTCCACCATGGGAATTGGAAACTTATCTGCCACGGTAGCCTTATTAAAGGACCTATAATCAACACACATTCGCCACGTTTGATCTTTTTTTAACCAAAATCACCACACTTGAGAAAGCGCTCTTACTTGGACGAATCATTCCCAAGGAAAGTAGTTCTTTCACCTGTTCTTCAATCTCCGTTTTCTGCAATGTGGGTATCTATATGGTCGAACACAAACAGGGTCATGGGAATTGTTGAGGGTAATAACGTGATCATGAACCCTTGTTGGAGGGAGACCCGAAGGGGCCTGAAAAACAACCACAAATTGATTGAACAACAATTGTAAAGCCTGCCCTTGAGTAGTGGTTAAATCATCTCCAAACCCGGTATCAACCAAGGGCAATGAAGGGATGGTAGTCTCCAAGCCCTCCGAGATAAGCAGCCACTGTTGTAAGGAATCAAAGGAATCTTGAGAGGCTCTCTTTCCTTGCAGCGAAACTGAGACCCCATGAAAATTAAATTTCCTCCAAGATTTCTTCCAAGTCCCAATTGTGAATTACTTCTCCCAATGTTTCAAGCCAAGCCATCCCCAACACCACATCCAATTTCCCAGCATCAAAAACTAGAGCATTCACAATAAGCTCATACTATCCCACCATTAATTATTGATCAACCATAATAGTATGACCATCACCCAAACGAATGTTAATTCCCGAGCAGTTATTAAATGGTAAAGCTAAGGATGTTACCGGTTGACGAGAGATGAAGTTATGAGTCGCTCCACTATCTACTAGGATGGAGACAGGAATGTCCCTAATCATCCCATCTAATTTCATCATCTTGCCGCCTGGTGTAGTCTCTGCGGAAACACCGAAAAACTCCAAAGCCGCACACATTCCGGTGGGAACTTGCTCCTCATTTGTAAGACCTTGTTCACCTCGAGACTCCATATAACAAACATCACCCACGTCTAGTCCATCCTCGTCTTCTCCCAACAGTAACACCCGGAGTTTCCCTTCTGGACATTTGTGAGTCGGGCCATACTGTTGCCAACGGAAACATAATCCTTTTCTAGGTCGCTTTTCCCATTTTGTTCGTGTAAGGGAACGAAACTCTCGATCCCTCTGATTATCGTTTGAACCCTGGGAGGTCAGTGACCCTGAAGAACGAGGACTTGGATAAGATTTAGACAACTGGAAACGATCCATACCCTTGGGTAATGGGCTTTTAGCCTCTGCATGGCCCACAGGCAAAGGTCATGGATCACTTGGGCTAAAACAGGAGCCCAAATGGTACCGGATACGAGACTGAGATAAAGTACCAGATGACGGACGCAACATCTCTTCCACATCCTTCGCCAAGTACATAACATCCAAGCGCGATTGGGGGTGGTGCAATCGAACCCACCATTTGACCTCATCTCGCAATCCCGTACAAAATACCCCAACGATTGCGATTCTGGTAACTTGGGAACCAAGGAAAGTAAGTATTCGAAATCATCAATATAATCATAAATGGAGTCAGATTGTTTGATGGTTGTGAGTTGTTCATAGGGATTTTGGATTTCTAATCCACTGATCGTTGAAGTAATTCTACTTGAAATTGATCCCAAGTGATACCCTCATGAACTTGTTTAACGACGGTGAACCAATGTTGTGCGACTCCTGTCATACTCAGTTGGGCCAGTTGGAGACCAAGATGGGCAGGAGTAGCATTAATGTCAAAGAACAAATTAGCCTTTTGAATCCACCCCTGAGGATCAAACCCATAAAATTCGGGTAACTTAACCTTCTTCACCGCCCAAGGTACCCCACCGGAGTCATTGAGAGGAGGAAAAGCGCTCCCACTAGCCCCGTTACTGCCGCTGCCGGACTCGAAGAAAATACCGGAGTGATGATTGCTTGAACTTATGCCACCACCAGAATCGTGTTGTTTGCCTTGTTGTTTCATCCCCCCAGCATCACTTGGCGGAACTCAGCAGACTCCACCCTATCTACCTCTAGTGATTGCAGAGCCAGTTTAATCACAGTAACCTCAGCCTGAAGTCGTTGGAGCTGCTCATCATGTTGCTCCAATCGGGATTGTATAGAACGGGTTTCCATCAACAATGAATCAAAGAGAACGGCAGGTCAAAGGCAGGTCTGATGAATAATCGAATTTCTAATGCAGCTATAGAATGAAATAAGAACACACTGAGAGGAAGGAAATGATTTAATTGAAATCGAAAATGGAAAATTACAATCAAAACTCCAGGGATAATCCCTCTCTCACAATCCACAAGATTTGAGCCCAAGACAATTGAAAGCAAATAACATAATGAATGAAAAAGAAATTCCCCTTCCTCTTTTATTCTCTCTCTTCTAACAACCTTCAGCCACTTTTGTCATTTACCCTTTTAGCCCTTCTAAAATATACGTGTAATATCCTAGGTTTGTTAATCTCATCTTTAATTAATTCCAACTTCGTATCAATTTCTTAACAATTTAGTCCTAATGCCCTCATCCGCAATCGGCCGACCAACACAGAACCAAACAACAGGAGAAGCCTGATCCAAACACACAGAAAAATGCAACAAGATAACAAACTTAAGACAAGAAAAGCCATGCTTTTTAATATATTTTATGTTCACTGCAAGTTGTGGCATATTGGTTTGATGGTTTTGACAGGTTGCTTGATGAGGTTGTTCACCAATCTCTCTCCGACTAAATGTCTAAATCTAACACCGTTGGACTATTGATGAGTGACACATGACATGATCTTTAGATATAGAATCAGATTTTGTAAACAACTGATTGTCTAATCCAACAAATCAGAATGTTCGATGCAAGAGTAAGAAGATATTGGAACCGATAGGATCACAAAAAATAGAGTATCACAACCGATTGTATAATGAATAAGAAGCCTATTCTACAGTTGGCTTGCACCTACAATGGTTTTAACTTTCCATCTTCTCTATTTGTGGTAATTTTTATATCGTATTTAGTTTGAAATATACTTTCAACTAGCCCAGCTGTTTTCTCAATTTAATAGGAATTACATTTGGTTTAGCACCATAGACATCACATATTTGTTCGAATTATATACCATGAAAAGAAAACAAGAATAAATTAACCACTATTGAGATAGTAGGACTACTACCAAGGTCCTATCAATTTCTACACACCCGCTACCTAGAAAGCCTAACATTTGCCTAGTTCAGGTCAAGAGGGGTCATGCTTGGATCATGTGGACTAGTTAGCCAAAAGCAATAGAGACGACATAAATCACAAAAATGGACTACTCCAAGAAAATACTAAAGGTGGTGACGAAGAAAATATTGTTTCGACTGAACCTCTTTAGCTGCCTCCACCAGGCTCAGGTGAAATTCCTTAAAGCAGTCTGTCCCGAGAGCTCCATATAAAATGGCAATCGGACTCCCAATAGATGAAGCAAAGTAGACGTGGTCAAACTCAAACAGTTCAGGCTGTTGAAATATATCTCCATCCCTGCAAGGGTAGATGCTGTTAAGAGCTTGAAATGGTAGAAGTAATATCCATCCTACAAAATTGTTATGTCTTCCTTTTAGGCAGTCCCAACTTTTTTTTGCAAACATGCCAAATTTTTAGCGTCTCCGCTAATTACTGATGAGGCACTTATCTTATAATATTCTTATGCAACTAATGTATTAATATATGTAGTTTAGGACGTTTACAAAATTGCTTAATTTCCGTGACAAGAAATTTAAAATTCTTTAAACAACATGGAATACAGTTGGTTGGGAGGACTTACTTATGCGGACTACGAAGCCACAATTGCAGCTCTGGGAGATCAAAGAACAGGGCCCCACCTGTGTCCACCCAACAACATTTTCCACCAGGACTGCTTGGATTGACACCTACAAGCAACGAATCAGCCTTTTTGTCTTTTTTGCCTTCATTTAGTTCAGATACTCCACCATCAATAGAACTAGTACTAAGGTCATCGGACAATGGAAACGATGAAAGAGATTCTTCTGCTAATTGTTGATAAAGCACTAATCTTGGAGATGAAGATCGAAGAGTTAGAGATAATTCAAACACTGATGCCAACGGTCCAGTCACAAGTGATTTCCCATAATTACAAATTTTCTGCAAGCAATCTTTTGCAGTGTAAGGATCTGTATTCCCACTTTCATTATTAAGCCACACATCAATGAACTCCCAGAAAAGGTCTTTCCATTCTCTAGACAGTAATTCCCTGTGGAACATAATTCATGATGCGTTAGCCAACAAGAATTGCTAGAGAATATATTCAAAGACCACCCCCACTGCCACCCAAACAAACACAAATGCATACAAACTAATGGTTGCACCTCTAATTATATCATTTATAAAAAAGTATTACTTTCAAGTATAAAATGTATTCAGTTCCTAGTTTTCTACTTTCAAAGCTATGTAAACAGACCAAATTTGCATAAATTTCATGTGGTTCAACTTGTACTCAATTTACATGAGTTGAATATTTGGATCTTTCGATAATAAGTTGTCAACTTTCTTTTATTAATTGCAAAGCTAACAACGGTGAAAAGGAAAAGAGAAGACGAAAATACTTAACTTCTTTAAATATTATGCTTTTCATAAAGAAAACTTATTAAGATCTTTTCCTGTTTTGTCATCCAAGGTAGTGAGTTACTAACAGTTAGAAGGACAAAGATGTTAGCAAGGACAAGATGACTAAGAAGGATATCATCTTTTGTGTGGACATGGTAGAAAGTTGTAGGGTGCTCGTTGGGATCATAGGACTCCAAGATTTTTATTTTGGTAACAATAGGATAAAAGCCAGGTGGATGTAGCAGTGACGTGCATCAAAAATCATTTGGGAATAAAATCCCGGCACAATTAAGTCCTAACATTTTATAGGATGATGGCAGAATGTTATGAGTTATGGCACAAGTAGGACCAGCAGAAGACATGAACACAAAGATGAGTGTAGCACAATTGCAAGTGCAGAGGTGGATGTCGATGTATGATATTAGAAACTATAAAACTCGAGAGAAATATGGGGTGGCTCCAACCAAAAAGAAACCGATGTGACATCTTTTGAGATGCTTTGGGCATCTCCAGCGTAGACAATCTCAGGTTGTCAAATGTTTGATCCTGGACAGTGGTTATTCATTGAAGTCCACTTTTCCAACTTATTTCCAGCATGGAAGTTTCATTTGCTAAGGATGTTACTACAAAAGATATATAATTGCTAGCAATTTTAACATATACATACTAATAAAAATCCAATTGGACTACTTTTTTTTTTTTGTATTCCTCGTTTCATTTTTTTTTTTTTTTGTTATGCCTTACCTGCATAACAACTTCCACAGAACTGTCATGAGCTTGCATTTGAAGCATACTTTTATGATATGCATCTTGAAAATTCTAACCAAATAAACATAAAAAATGAAAAGAGGGAAAGAACAAAATAACCTGAAGTAATTTCAGGCCAAATTACTCAATGCTCCAAAAAGGTTTGGCCAAAGCAAACACATTGAAGAAGCAGTAGTGGCAATCAGTAAATTTGCATTTCTCATTTGATGGTTTGAAGACGTTTTCAGTCGTACACATATATTTCAATATGATATTTTTATAACCAATGTCCTTCAAGGTACTACCACCTAGAAATAATTATCATCCGCATTACATGCTTGACGATACATTTTTACCATGGTTTCTAATAAGCCATGGCCTTCAAGGTACTACCACCTAGGGACGGATCAAATTGCGTTCAAGCTACATGCTTAATGATACATTTGACCATAATTTGGGTCTCCAAAAGACCCAAATCACTGCACAAGAGATATGGAAGAGTACATACTCAATAACTAGGGACAATCCCTAAGAAGCACTAACAAGAAGCAAAGTGATCCATGCGTGGTATTTTGCTCTTTAAGACTTCAAAGCATTAAAATTCAACAACTAAGACAGTTTAGGGCACACATTCCTAAAATTCAAATCCCGGCAACCAGTTACTAACAGTGATTCCGCCACACCACTATAGAATGATAATTCAGGTACCCTTAAGGTAAGTCTCATGCCATTGGTGCCCATAAAGGCATGCATGTGGTATCCCGTTAACTTGCTATACCTTATATCCAATCTACAAAAAATATCTACCAAAAGTGCTGCAGTCATGTAAATATCATCAAAATAACTCAAATCAATCTCATAAGGTGCGAAATTCATCAGACAGATCATCATCTAAAGCAGTAACTTAAGAATTACAAAGATTTATGACACATCATCAAGTGTTGAGCTTGTATGGAATCAAAAAGAAAAGAAAGGAATAATGAATTGAAATACATGAAACGCATAATGAAATGAAATACAACTTCCCCACCCACTATCATTTTCTCAAGAACACACACACTTAAGAGAAAAAGAAAGTAAATACAAATTTGCATACCCGGCTTCAAGAAGGAGCGAGGTGCCAGGCCATTTGGCACGGAGAGCAACTTGCACATTCTTGGGTCGTTGGGTCTCTGCAGAAACCGAATACCCACAAACTATTATACAAACTGCGATCAGAAGCAGTATCCGAAGCCCAGATCTGATTCGGGTCTCCATTACTTGAAACAACCTCGTTCTCAATGCCAATACGTCTGATCACAAATTCACAAGCTTCCAAGAAACCCCATCAAAGATTGGAACTTTAATCGTGGGTTTTGTTAGTTAAATAGGAATGTGAGATTTGGGTTTTTGAGTGTAAAGTCTTTTTGTGAAGTGATTACAGTTAACTCGCTAGGGTTTCTTTCAAGCCAGGGTTTAATTCCTCTTTGAGATTTAAGATCGCACCATAACGAGGGTAAGCGCTTACATGGACGGGAAACACACGTCTTAAATCTGACATGGCATTGGATCATTGGGTGATAAAAAGAAAGGTAATTTTTTCGTTTCCAATTAGAAACACACCAAAACATACGACCAAAGTCCAGCACCACACATAATCACCGCGACCAAATCGAATCCAAGGATTGATCTTTGATTTCGTGGTCTTTAGAGCATTTCATATCATGCTAAGGAGCTGTTTATTGCGGCTTAATTAGGTTTATTGGTCTATCTGGTTTATTTGTATAGTTCATTTGGGTTGTTTACTAATGGCTTAATCACACAGATAGAAATGGTATGTTGTCCTCGTTCAGCCACAGAAAATGACACTTCTACCCCTTATTTAAAGCATCGCATCCTTCCCAAATTAGGCACCCCATCGTCAACCTCTTTATGATTTTTTGATGTTCAAATAATTAATATTAGGGGGGTAAATCGGCCAGTTATGTTATTCAGACTGTTGGTTCAAATAAAAAAAGTAAACAACAATATCCATTTATCCAGACAGACAAATTTATCCATACATAACTTAATAAAAAATTTGGTAAACATCCCCTAACTCTTTACAGGTTTAGGTTTAATTATATCATAATTTCTTTTTGATATATTTTATAAACTTTTTATTTCAATCATGAACTGGTTATGACTTAAAATTTTATTACTGTTTATTATTTAATCAGATTGGATTTCACCATTTTGATAAAGAACTGATTCATGTTTATAAATGTCTCCCCTTCCAGTTTGGCATATAATGCTTCCTTTCTAAAAGAATTCGAAAGTCAAAATAAGAGAAGATATGTTATGTCATATTATTCACTCATGTGAATTACAACACTTCATATACAAGACAATATCACTGCTTTCAGCATCCGTTCCTTGCGGTTGAGGTAACAATTTCGGTCATTACCACCTCCTATAGTGTGACGGGCGGTGTGTACAAAGCTCGAGAATGGATTCACCGCTGTGGATTCACCGCCGTATGACTGACTGACTAACAATTACTAACGATTCCGGCTTCATGCAGGCGAGTTGCAGCAAGCTAACTCTAAAAGAATAAAACCTTCCACCTAACAGACTAACAACTACGTAACGTTTCTTTTAACTACACAGGGCCGTTCTTGGGGGAGGGCGACACGGGCGCACGCCCAGGGCCCAAAAATATCAGGGGCCCAAATTTTTCCCTTAAAAATACAATAGTAGTCTAAAATGAATTTAATGAAATAAATAAACCCAAAAAATTGTAACATATAATAAGAAGTAAAAAAAATTAGTACATAATAAGGGCCCAAAAATATTTCAACTAATTATATTGGAGAATAAAGTAAAAAAATTAATTGGTCATTCATTATATGATATTGTTTATTGTGTCTCTAATTTTTTTTATCTTCAACAAAGTCTAATGATGTCGGTTATTGTTATCTCTATATGATTGGCTGTTTTCATGGTTCAACAATTCAACGTTAAAATCATGTGCTTCTTATTGCTATATATTTTTGTTGGATATTTTTATCAATTTTTGCTTCTATTGACTATTGTTATTTGGTTATGTTGTTCTAATTGTTTTTGTTGACTATTGTTATCTATTTTTGCTTCTACATAAAATATTTTACTATTGTTTGACAATCAATCTATTGTTATAAATTTATGACGTGTTTCATAGTTTAGTGATTAATCAATAATTTTTTTCTACTAGATATATTTAGTAATGTCTCTTATAAATGTCATGTTCAATAAATTTTTAATCTTAACATCTTATTTTAGTTGAGCAAAAAAAAAGGAAAATAAAATTTAAATATTTTCATTAATTATTTGACTTATATATCTTTCATTGGGATTCCACCGCACTATAAGATTCTATGTAAGTACTCAAACAATCATTTGTTGAGCTTGCATATTATATGTTTAATTCATTATTGATTCTTATTAGATCTCAATGAATTATTTTTTCTTTCATATTCGTATTGATCCTCATTTGTCTACTTGTTTAGAAAACCTTGATAATCTTATTTATTATTGATCTCTCATTAACCCTCATGATTACTTCATTCACACGAATTTTTTTAATCAAAATAACACATATTTCTTGTTATAAACTAAAAAAATTCTCATTTTTTATAAAAATTTATTAACCATAATTTTTATACTTTTGGTTTCAAATTACCTAATAAAAAATACTTAAATTTAAGTAACCACAAGGGTAGTGTCTGATTGGTTTGAGCTTGACTCTAATGGTCAAAAGTGTCTGGAGGTCCCATGTTCAAATACAAGGAACAAAAATCTCCTTGTGGTCATGAAGGTTCAAATGTGGTGGGCCATGTTTTTACGTTAGCCCTGGGCCCATAAAATGTCAGGAACGGGCCTGTAACTACACTAACATCCCCCTCAAGCTTGTTAGAGATACGTCTTATTTTATTAGTGTTGGTCAGGATATTGAGATAAGGACGTATTAATCTCCTGATAAAATTACAGGTTAGATTTAGAGTAGGATATCTGTTATCTAGTTTTATCTTTCTCCTTTTTTTATCTGGTATATATATAGATGATTTAATCTTTACATGAAATGATTTGAAGTTGTGTGAAGATTTTATAGCTGTCATGAAGCAATAATTGTACATCAGACAAAGGATGGTATCTCCCTATGTTAGAAGAAATATGCTCAAGACATTCTTCGAAGATTTTGGTATCGAAAACTGCAATGCAGTTAATAGCGTTATGGTTCCATGCACAAGATTGTCTCTGGAAGAAGGACGAGAAGGTGTTAACACCACATAATACAAGCAATTAATTGGAAGTCTTATGTACGTTATGACAACTTGATCTGATGTCATGTACGCAATGAGAATTCTGAGCAGATTAATGGAATCTCCAAGGGAAGGACATCTCTTGGCAACAAAAGGAGTTGCTAAGATACGTGAAAGAAACAATGAATTATGGAGTATTCTATAGAAGGGGATTTGATAATGTTATAAACAGGTACGCCGATAGTGACTTTGTTGGAGATCTAAAAAGTAACCTATAGTGATGTTATCGACTATAGAAGTAGAATACGTCGTTACCACGAGTTGTGCATGTCAAAATGCGTGGCTGAAGGAGATCTTGAATACATTTGAGGAAAATAAATGTAAGTGCATTACTGTGTTATGTGATAACCTCTTCCATCAAGTTGTCTAAAAATTCAGTTTTCAAGGCCCGCCCAAAGGGTGGACAAGCCGTGCGACGGCCAGGGGCATCAATTTAAGCTCAGTGATATTATTATTAATAATAAAAAGTTTTAAACTGACAACTACAAGACTCAAACTCTAAACCTCGAGCATACATAAACACTTCCGTACCACTAAGCTATTTAAGATATTTTGATATTTTTTCCTCCTATTTTAATTTTATTAGTTTTCTCGTTGATTCATTTTATTCCTCCTTGCATTTTTTTTTTCAACCTTTGTCTTCTTTTCATTGAAACATTTATTTATCTGAAATAAAATTAATCATATTCCACAATTAATATTTGTTATGTATTTTTGTTTTGAAAATCATGAGATAATATTTGTAAGTTTATTATTCTTTTTGCCAACATTTTTTTATGCAGAGAATTAATAAGATCAAACTCTACAAAAAACAATTTAGACCACTGGCTAATTTCAACTCGGAACCACATATATCTTTTGTTATATTTTCTAAAATCAAACCATGTAAGACATAATTTAGATTACTATATAATTTTTCAACTATTTTTTTGTGATTTTCATAGTCGTAAATATGATTCTCGAATATTATTTTTTATTTTGTATTATACTTTTTGATTCGATGTTGAATCTTGTAATTCCAATTTTGTTGTCACCCATAATGTGGTTTGTTGTCTAAGGCTATATATGGTTGTTTAAACCTATGTTGTTAATTGCGGTGCAATAGCACCGCTATTGCGGCGATATCTTGGATAGCGGTCCTTTGCAAAATATCGGTGGTTAAATTACAGTAGCACAAGTATCGGCACAATTTACCGCATTTTGACCGATAATTAGAGTAAATTGCGTTCGATATTAATGTTAGTTTTTGGTGGGTTTGGGCTTTATTTTCAGTCTGGGCCTTTAGACGGCCACGACTTCTAGCTTCTGTTAATGTTAGTCAAGGCTTTTTATGGGCTTTAAGAACTAGGTTTCTCACTTAGATCTATCTCATCGACAATTTGTTCAGTGATGAATCCGACGATCTAATCTCATATGCTTTAGACGACCACGACTTTGAGCTTCTGTTTCCAACTTCTATTTCCAGGTACCACGACAATCTGTTCAGCGATCTAATCTCATCTGTTTCCAACTTCTATTTCTTGCTTTTGATCTCATAATGCTTTATTCTTGTTTGCTCCAACTTTTGTTTGGTTCTTTTTGGTTTATGTAGACATATTATATATATATATATATATATATATATATATATATATAGGAGCGTTCAAATGAAAACTTGACCCATTTGTGTAAACCGTGTAAACTAATCTCATCCATCCATTTTCTTGATCAATGGCCTAGATTATATTATTTTATTTTAGGAAATTAAAAATTAAAAAATAATTAATATTCATTTTATTTAAGAAAAAAGGGTAGAATCGGTATTCATATCAAAA